TACTGTTTTTGTTTTTCTTTATATTCATACAAGTCTCTAGTGTATTCACTTTGACTTTGAACATAAAACAAAGTAGAAGATGTGCCGTTTCTATTCTAACTATTCATCATATTATTTTAAGATGAATATTATTCAAATGCTTACCTATTTGTTGAATCTCGTAGATGATAATATGTTAAATCTGTATCAAGAAATAATTTTGGATGAAATAAACTTGTCATTCTCGTGTTTTCTTTTTTTCTACTTTCTCACTTGCTTATTCAATGTCGATTGAATGATGATGATGAAGAGTTTCTTGTATAATTTTTCGAATTTTATTGAAACCTTAACTTATCATGCATAGAGAAACCTTTCAAATTCATTGTGGTCGTGTTAAAAAGTTATTGGCCAAATGAGAAGAAAAGACCGATATGTATATTTTTGCATATATATGTATATACCTACATGAAAAGTACTAATAAGTTGAATTATCTTTTTTTTTTCTTTTAACCTCTTTTATTTCAATGTCAATCCATTTGTAGAATAAACAATTAAATACAATATGCAGTGTTATATTAAGAACGGATAGAAAAGTACTGTTGACTATCTTTTAACGTACATATACGAACGTTTAATATTATCGTCAACAGAAGCCAAAAAGAAAAATATAGCAGACCAGCAATCACCTTCATATAAATGCAATATACAACGTATGTATTGCGTATTGAAATGGCATAAAAACAGAAAGAAAAACTTGTAGGGTGTATAAGCAGTTATTGAAAGACTTCATCAACTCAATTTGATGTATGCCTTCGAGGGTTTAAGTACACCTGACTGTTATAGAAATGAATACTGATTACTTTGGCTCGTGCTTACAAATTTATATGCATATAATTGTCTTCGAGAAATGATGAAATGCTCTGATGAATATTATAAGGATTCAATATATATATACATACGTATGGTATTTCTATGTTATATATTTGGTAATATAACGATGATTAAATTTTCCTAAATAAAGATATATACATATATAGTTATATATATCTTAATAATCCAGCTGATTTAATGAGAAAATATAAGAACATTGAGAACTTGGAATAACAAACTAATCAAGTTGAAATGTTTCTTGGTATGAGAAGAAAAGAAACCTTATGTGAATATGATTAGTCGGAGCAAATAAATAACTGCATCGTTTAAATTCAAAGTATTTTATACAAACTGCTATAGCCATAGTTCATAGATGGGAAAATATTGAACACTAAAATGCTTATTTAACAAGGAAAGAAATTAAAATTAGTATTTTTTTTTAGTTACACAATTAAAGTTTTTCTCATTGTATACAGGCCGAAAATTAGTAACGAAATCACAGGGAAGCAGAGGATAACTAAGTTCGCAGATAATTTAAAAACTTGTTGCTCGGCAGTCCCATAGTAGGGGGGGGGGGTGAACACCTTCTGAATAAGAGGTTTGGCGTGACTACTACCACAAATCTCTTTCCAATTTAACAACAACGTCTTAAATACAAGATAGCTTTAAAGAATTGATGTGGCAAGATCATATTCTATATAGAATAATTTCTTCGATCACAGTTATGTCAAATATAATTGAAATATTTTAATAATAGATGTCACTATTGTACATATCAGTATTGTCACTTATCTTTAATTCATCAATCGATTCTACCAATAAAATATTTTCTTAATTGTGAACAAAGAGACAAAAAACTTGTACAGATCGATGGTAATTCTTTCATTTGTATAAACGACAAATTCTATCATGGGTGCTCAAAAAGAGAATGGAGAAGGTATTAATAAATAAAAATATCTCATTTCATTTCATTTCATGATGTGGTTTTTCTTTCTTTTCGTTTTTTTTGTTACTTAGGTGAATTTGAAGATAATATTGAAGAAAAAACAATCAATGAAGAATATAAAATATGGAAAAAGAATGCACCATTTCTATACAATCTCGTTATAACTCATGCACTTGAATGGCCAAGTTTAACAACACAATGGTTACCTCATGTTCGAACGTATGTCATCTATTATATATATTTCTTTTTGTTTTCTATTCAAAAAAATGTTCTCTTGTGTTTCTATTTCAGTGAAGAAGGTCGCGATTTTAGTACACATCGTTTAATACTTGGCACACATACATCTGATGAACAAAATCATCTTGTTATAGCTAGTATACAATTACCAAAAGAAGATCTTGAATTAGATGGTTCACATTATGATAATGAAAAAGCTGAATTTGGTGGTTTTGGTTTAATTAATGGTCGTATTGAAGTTGATTTAAAAATTAATCATGAAGGTGAAGTTAATCGTGCACGTTATATGCCACAAAATCCTCAAATAATCGCAACAAAAACTCCATTATCAGATGTATTAATATTTAATATTGATACGCATCCATTAGGAAAAGAACAACCAGGTGATTGCAATCCTGAATTACGCCTTAAAGGTCATACTCGAGAAGGTTATGGTTTATCATGGAATTCAAATGCCAATGGACACTTACTTAGTGCTGCTGATGATCATACTGTTTGTCTATGGAATATTAATATGCAACCAAAAGAAGGAAAAAATCTTGATGCTTTATCGATTTATACTGGACATTCAATGGTTGTTGAGGTATGAAAACCTCTGAATTTAATAGACTCTAGTCCCGATTAATTGTTCGATCAATAAGGAGAAGAATTTAAATTGAGGGTATATTTACTACTTATCATCTCGTGGGATGACTATCTACAAGTTAAATTCACAAGCTATTGTACAATAGAATACATCGATCTATCCATTAATGGAAAGCTAATCGACCTATTCGAAGCATATGAGAGAGAACAGCTCAACAAAGATATAACTGACCATCGAATTCTGTCGTACAGTAAACTTCTTTCGTGAAGCGATAAAATCTAACATGATGTGGTTGTTCTTCTTGCTTTCTTTGGTACTTACAAATGTCATTTACTCTTTCAACATATAGAAAAAAAAACAATAAATTATCTCTGTTATACACTTTGCTTATCTTAATTAGTCCCAAATTAGTTATGAATCGATTTTGGAAAAAATCAACTTGAGTTAAATCAATCAGAGACCAGTTTCGGGAATATCCTTCTTTTCTTACATAGGTATTCTAGATGTTTTTGTATACTATTCCATTTTCGCTCACTAAACTATTCCTACAACAAGTCAGAACGACTGACTTAAATAAACAGATCAAAATTCGAACTTTCATGTTTCTTTTAATTTATTCCATTATACATAAAAGATGGCTTGTGATTAATTGCTCAATATTTTATAATGAATGCTCAATAGGTTTTGCACAGTAAATAGTTTGAACAGCTCAGTAATTTATTTAAAAAGACTAAGTATTTAAGGTTGTAGGTGCAGGTTTGGGTGGTGCTGTCAGTTTTCCTTATAGAGTTCGACGGTTGCAAAAAGTATCTGAAACCGAAACTGTTAAATTATCAGGTAGATGCGAAAATTTTAAATATTGAGAAATTTTCACTATTGAATAGTTGAGATTAAAGATGCTTCGTATTTCAGTATTAACAAAAACAATATCATACATATATTCTACAATTTTCAATCTGACGAATAAAAAAATAAATAAAGATTTCTCTTCATAGATTTAAGAATTTTGTATCTATCTCATAATTTAACGGTTCCAATGTGTTTTTTTTCCATGATTTCGGTTGCAAGAAATTTTTAAAAGTCAGTTCTTCATTTCGATTTTTTTGGCGGGCGGGGGGAGTAGTCAAACTCGATCTTCTTGACGGTAGCACCCACTTCCACAAATTATTAATTTACTGAACAAAGATGATAGTTATTGAACAATAATTTTTATACTGAGTATTTAATTTATTCCCATAAAAGATTGACTGTCTATTTAAACAAATGGCTTTTTTTAGGACGTCGCATGGCATTGTACACATCCGACAATATTTGGTTCTGTAGGTGATGATCAAAAATTGATGATGTAAGTTTATTTAAATATGAAAAATTAATTTGATAAAGACAATTATAGTTGGGATACACGATCAAATAATTATGGAAAAGCAAGTCATATTGTTGATGCACATGCAGCTGAAGTCAATTGTGTAAGTGGAAGAAAAATTTTGTTTTATTAAAAAGAAATTTCTTCTTTATTCTAGATTGCATTTAATCCTTTCTCGGAATACGTACTTCTAACTGGTTCAGCTGATAAAACACTTGCTTTATGGGATTTAAGAAATTTAAAAATAAAATTAGCAACATTTGAATCTCATAAAGATGAAATATTTCAAGTATAAATAAAGATATTATTTTATCTTTTGAATTCATTTTATATTATTTAGGCACAATGGTCACCTCAAAATGAGACTATTTTTGCATCAAGTGGTTCAGATCGACGACTTCATATATGGGATTTAAGGTAAAAGAAGAAAAATGTTTTTATTTCGCTTGACTAGAATAATAACTTTATTTAGTCGAATTAATCAATCACAAACACCAACTGAAACTGAAGATGGTCCACCTGAACTATTAGTAAAGAAATTTTTATCTTATTTTGGTTTTTGTATTTTCTTTATATGTATAATATGCATAGTTTATTCATGGTGGACATGCGGCAAAAATTTCTGATTTTTCTTGGAATCCAAATGAACCATTTGTTATCTGTTCGGTATCCGAAGATAATATGGCTCAAGTTTGGCAAATAGTAATTTAATTTATTTCTTATACAAACGATAAATACAAATTTATTTTTCTATTTTTCATAGGCTGAACATGTATATAATGATGATATCGGTATTGAGGCCATGTCTGGTGATCGAGGAGAAATTCCTCCACCGACAACAACGGCTAATGCTTCTTCAAATGGATCTTAAAAAAAGAGAATGTTTTCTTTTTCGTCTCTTCTTTGTTGTGTCTAGTATAAATCTGTTTCTCTGTTAATGTGTTTTCTTCTTTCTTTATCTGTATACAAAATGCGACCAAACAAAACAAAACAAAAAAAAGAAATGTAATTATCTTTATTTATCTCCATGCAGATGCCTGTTTTGCTTTTCCAAGTGCGATACCAGTTTTTGATACTAATGGTACAATACCACCACGAGCTTTTTGTTCACGATAATCTTTATCATTTAACTCACAACATGCTTGATCTTCATCATAGAGTACATCGAAATTACCGAGAACTTCAGGTGTTGTATTTGTAAATTTATTTCGTATATCAGGAATATCACCATTGGGTACAACTATATTGAGAACATCGTTTATAAGTTTAAATTTCATAATACGATCATTGGCTGTTGTCGACGTAAGTGAAGGTGATGCATTAACTTCAATAAGCCAAGGTTTGAGATTATCATCGATAATAATATCTAAATTATCAAAAGAGAAAAACCCGAATTTATCTATTGTAATTTTATCTTGACAATCTACCGTATCCATAACATTCAAAACAATGTCTATCGCTGGTAATAACAGCAGATGCTGCACGTAATGAATGAACAATAATCCAACACATTTCATCAAATAAACGATCAGTAAGCTATTGAAAGGAAGCATTAATAAAATAGAATATTTCTAATGAAAATCAATTGTACTTTTTTTCCACGTGTTCCTTCAAGATATAATCTTAAATTATCAATCGACCATTTACCTCCATGTATGGAATTATAATCTTCCTAAAATTATCATTCTTACTAGAAAAACATACACAAAATTTTATTTATTAATCTTACACTTTGTTTTTGATAAGAAACATTGGTCAAATGAACAAACATATTATCAATATCATTTGATGATGAAATATATTTAACTGTACAAAATCGACCAAAACCAAGTCGAAATCTAACAATAAAATGATTGATTATAATGAAATAATAGATTTTACACTAAAATAATATTTACAAATAACATTTCAATGGTTTAAATGATGTAACAAGAACATATAAACGTAAATCAAATTTTTTTCCACCAATTAAAAGTGGATTATCTATATATTTTGATATAACATAAGTTTCTCGAGTTGGTGCAGCTAAAATATAGAAATTTCAAGAAGTATTTAAATTTCTATGAATAAAAAACAAATTTGTCATACTTGCTGGTATCGATTTTCCATCACGTGACCATTTTTTTATTTGTGACATTTTATTTATTAAAAAAATACCTTTACCTTGTGCTAAATATAATCAAATACCATTTATAAAAATCGAAAAAAAAAAAGAAAATTTTTAAACCTCGAGCAGCCGGTTTCATAATCCATGTATGATTAGGATCTCGTCGAAAATCATCAGCAAATAAATTATAATCAGCTGGCATCATATAAGTCACTGGAATGAAATCTATGAATTTTAAACAAAGAAGAAAAGAAAAGAAAAGAAATGAATATTTTCAAAAAATAAAGAATAAATCTAACCAAGATATTTATGTGTTCCAAAATCATCTTTTTCAGCAATCAAATTTCCATCTTTTTCAAGTTCTCGACGATATCGTTTAATATTTTTAACCATTAAATCTTTTCTTGTTAATTCATAATGATTTGGAAAATGATTAATAACTCTAAATAGTATTATATTAAATTATAAAATTTAATTCTAAATTTAATTTATTACTGATTATCAGTTAAACGAGGATGATCATTTGCAGGATTGAATATTGAACGAACAGTAGTAACTGATGCCCTACATTAATAAAAATATATTCATTTCTTCAAGTAAAAAACAGTACAAATAATTTGACTAACCAATAAAAATTCCAATCTTCATCAGGACTTATAGTAATCCAAGAGCGTTTATCAAAATTTTGTGTTAAAACAGTTTTATCTAAATCTGTACAACATCGAACACGTGCCATTTTTTTTCTTTGTTGTTTTCTTCACAAGAAAAACCGAAAAAAAAAAGGAACAGCGTATGCCTATGTAAAAGAATAATGCATCATAATATTGGTTTCCATGACTATAACCTCCTGGTTCAAGAAAGACGTCATATCAATCTATCGGTCTTATGTTACTTGGTATTGTTATTGAATAATAAAATTTGAAATTTTATATTTGTTGATTTCTTTAAAAAAAAGAAAAGTGAATATTGATACTTAACTATTGTAAATATTAATTGTTGAAGATTATGGCTGTCATGAGAAATGAATTCGAAAAGTATTTAGAAATTTTATCATAAATTTTTTTGAAACAATCGGCTCGGATTACGTTAATATTCCTATATTGTTTTAAGGTAAAATAGAAGTTGATTAAAAAGTATAATATGTATAAATTGATCTATGATGCTTGACATAAATATTTTTGTCTTTTTCATGACAAACACAAACATAAGGATTTATTTGAGAAAATATTCAGATTTCTTTTAGACTTATGAGGGAACATTTCTAAGTGTTCGACTCTTTTTAAGCTGATATTTTGTTCATAAATAGGTCTTAGTGAACTATGAAAAGATTCCAAAAGGTTTGTGCTCTTGTCAAGTTTTAAATCGTTCAAGTATTTTTCATGCACATAAAAGTTTGAGAGTGAACTTAATGCTAACTATTATAATCTAGTTAGCATTAAGTTCATGCTCAAAATGATTTAGTTTTCTACCTTTTAATAATGACCAAAAAGCATTCTTCATTAATTTTATGCGCATGAAAAATACTCAAGCAATTCGAAATTCAACAAGGGCACAAATTCTTTGGAAGTTTTTCATAGTTCACCAAGGTCTACTTACGGGCAAAATATGTGCTCAAAAAGACACGGTCATATGGGATTGTTTTCTTGTTAGTTTACTGACAAACTAGTAAATATTGCATACAATAAGCTTCAAATTTCTAGTATTACAGCTGTAACTCAACACGATAGGCAGAGTAATTGAATACTAGCAGACAAAAAGCGTTGTGTGGACAAATTTCAGGAGCATCGAATTGTCATAAAACATGCACTCTTCTTCGAAGTGACGTCCCTGTTTATAATCAGCTTTTTTACAGTGCAGTGTGCCTACCAAAGAATAATAACAAAATGTTTGCCATGATATGACCGAATAAACTGATAATTCTTCCACTGTCATAAAGGTATTTCGAATTAATATTTATTACAAAAGTCTTTGTTTTGAAGCAACACCGTTGACAAATAGAGAAAACAATATTGTATCGATTGAACTGTACTCAATTACAATTTTAACGCTCACTTTTCAAATAAAATGATTTATTCTAAAAACCCCCACACTATTGCTTAACGTCTGTTTACCAAATCATTATTTCAATGTGTTTTAGCGTCATCTATAATATATTTAAATGTGCTTCAATGGAAACTAAATATGTATCTATTATTTATAGATGTATCTGAATGAAAATATTATCAAAAATCTTGATAAATAATCCAATAAATATTTATTTTCATATCTCGATAAACTATTCTATTCGATGAATCATTCAATTGACACACTTTACAAACTAGTTGTTTTTTATAATTGGTTGTTACTATTCTATCTATCTTTTCTTCTTGTAGAACAATTTAACTGATAAATTCTTTCTGAGTTATTATTCATAATGGTAATTCAAAAAAAAACATTGAATAAAAAACACATACATAACTAAATATTTTCTTTTAAATTCTGAATTTAGTTTCGAAATCAATACGATCATGATGTCAGCATTTGGAGTCCTCAAGTAATCAGATTCTTTTTATTGCATTTTTATTTTGTTGTTAATATAGGGAAGACTTTATCAAATTGAATATGCTATGGAAGCTGTTAAACAAGGAGCAGCTACTGTAGCTGTTAAATCTAATACACATGTTGTTCTTTGTGCTTTAAAAGTAAAATTATTTCTAGGAAATAAACTTTTAAATTTGAATTTTTACTAAATTTAGCGAGCACCATCTGAATTATCTGCCCATCAAAAGAAAATTATGTTTATTGATGACCATATTGGTGTTTCAATTGCTGGTTTAGCATCAGATGCTCGTATTCTTTGGTATGGAAAAAAGAAAATAATTTATATAAGAAAAAAATCTTGTTCTTTACTCTTAGTCGATTCATGCGTACTGAATGTATTAATCATCAATATGGATTCGATAAACCAATGCCTGTTACTCGATTAATGAATCATGTTAGCAACAGTAGGAATATATATTATTATTATTTTTTGTTGTATTAATAATCATCTTTTCAATTAATTTAGAATGTCAAGTTCCAACACAACGTTATGGACGTCGTCCATTTGGTGTTGGCTTTCTTATGGCTGGTTATGATGTATGTTCAGTGAATCTAAATCTAATTATAATTCACTTATTATTTTTATAGGAAAAAGGTACACATTTATATCAATTATGCCCATCAGCAAATTATTATTCATGTAAATCAATGGCAATAGGTGCACGTTCTCAATCTGCACGAACATATCTTGAAAAAAATTTAGATAAATTTTCTAGTTGTAATCAAGATGAACTTATTAAACATTGTATGCGGGCATTACGTGACACGTTACCCAATGAAGTTGAACTTACTGTTAAAGTAAGTTAAATTTGATTTTGTGAAACATGATGTGAAAGAAGTCTTCAAGTATAGAAATAAGAATTCATACTCTCCACAGACCTTAACATATGTAACCATGGGAGTATCACACACTTTTTATCAATAATGTCTCGTTATAATATATGAACTATTTCTTTATTGCATTTCTGGAGAGGATGGTGAAGAAATATGTCCTAAAATAGATAGAATAAAATGATTTGACTCTAACATTATGAGTATTTTTCCACAGACGAAGCTGATATGCGTATTTTTTAACGTAGATTGAATTCAGATTTGGAACTTTGTGCATGAAGAGAACTCAAATAGACTAGCTTCCATAATAAAATTCAGAAGTTTTGAACATAGTGTCTTCGAGATATGAAGTCTTCAAGATATAAACTCATTTCCATGAACTGTGTATACAAAATGCATTTTTTGAAAGCTTCATATCTGAAAGGAACTTTGTTCAAAACTTGTGAATTTTTTTGATAGAACCTAGTCTAGTTGGATTTTCTATAGGCACAAAGTTTCAGATCCAACTTCGAAAATACAAATTTTTCGAAAACCTAGTACCTCTAGAAAAATATTTGATAGCTTACTCAAATCTCAATAATTTTGTTAGAGCACTAGGCAGTAATCTATAGACAAAAATCATTGAAATCAGACGAGAGAAACTGAAGAGGTTTCTATGTTAGTTCAGGCTTAGAACACTTGTGCAAACGTTCTATCGATGATATCGGTAGAGAGACATTCTGTGGAAGTTTCGTCTGATTTGAAGTTGTGAAAAATTGTACAAACTCATTATACCGACCTCATGTTTTTGTAAAAGCACTCAATCTTGAAGAAGTATGAGTTTTTTACGAATCGGTAAAGTAAAAAGTCACCGCATTCGGATTGTAAATAACTTTCTCATGAGTGTTTTCTCCTTATTGTTTTTTTAGTTGGTAGTAAAGACTCCTAGCTACCAACAGCGTTTTCCGACTAGTACTAACAATAGGAATAACGACTTTCATATCGTCAAATAACTAATAGGTCACAGTATATATTGCTCTATTTAAATCATTAAAAGAACACTTTCAATTTTTCACCTAATGTCTGCCTCCATGTCTATTAAAGCTCGACGGTTTCAAAAATCACTCGAAATCGGAGTCGCGGTGCCGGCTTCGGTTCGGTTCTAACAATATCATGTGGAACTGTCAAATCATCAGGTAGATACGAAACTCTTAAATATACTTTGAGAAATTCTCACTATTGAATTGTCGAGATTAAAGACGTCACATATTTTAGTACTTAAACAAAATACTATGATACATATATACTGAAATCTTTAATCTCCAGAATGAAAAAATGAAGACTTTTCGACATAGATTTAAGAATTTTTGTATCTATCTGATGACTTAATGATTCTCAGTTCCAATTTTTTTGGGATCACTGAACTCTAATGCTCATACAGTTCTATGATCAGCAACAGCAGCTACATTATGTTTCACATTTGAATCCTACCGGGACTGTGCTGATAGCTTTTAATACATTCATCAATTATTTTGATATAGAATTGTGCTGTTGCTGTTGTTGGCAAAGATACACCATTTACACTATTGGATGATACTCGTATAGGTACATATTTAACAGCAATTGAAGGTGATGAACGTGCACCGCCAGCTCAAGATGATACATTAGTAATAAAATGAATTTAATAAATAGGTTTTTTTTCCTATTATTTATTATTCAAATTTTAGGTTGCTGGTAATGATGATTTACCACCACCTCCACCTGGTAGTGTTGAACCACGAACAATTGTTGCTACAGAACGTATGGAATCATAGGACATAATATTTTAAATGAAATCGTTATCTGTTATTAACATAAACATTCTTTTTTTAAAAACAAGACAAAAAAGGAAAATTCACTTCTTCTCTTCTTTCTTTTCTAGATAAATTATCTATTTCATTTTTCTTAAAATATGTCTACACTGGATGTAAGAATTTTATTTAAAAAGAAAAATTAATTTCTATTTCTGTAAATAATACATTTTCTTAGACATTAGCATCACAAGTTCCACAAGAATTACGTGTTAAACTAATGCAACATTTTGGTATAGCTAAAGAATATGAAAAAAATCCAGAAACAATTTCTATAACTTATTATTGTCTTATGTATATTGCTCATGAAGCACTTAAACTTCAAAAAGAAAAACAATTTGTTTCAAATGTACTTGATTATCTTGAAGCTGTATGCATTCACTATTGTTGTTTTGTTTTATTTTTGTTAAAAGAGAGATTTGTTTTTTATTTAGACAAAACGAAATAATCCAAATGATGAAATTATTAAATCATTATCAACTGGTCAAGCAACAATTGAAGAATTAATAACTGTTCTTGTTGGTGAAACAAATGAAGCTGAAAATGAAGAATTAAAAACACCTGATCAATTACGTTTACTTATGAGAAAACATTATACTGTTGGAGGATTAACCGATGTTCTTTCAGTTTTTGGACCAATTAAAGAAGATGTAAGAAACAATAGAAAATTCACCATAATTATTAGCTTTGTTTGTTTTATAGTTTTTAACATTAGGTAAAATTGCTAAAACTCGAGCAGTAGCTATTTTTCGTGATTTAAAAGCTGGTGGTGGTAGTGGTGGTGGTGCTTCATCATCAGCAATGAGACCACGTACGTAAATGATTTTTATTATATAATTGATATTGATTGATCTATTGATTTAGCTGATGGTCAAAGCGGTGCGAGTGCTCATGCAATGCCTCCATCGAAACCACCTGCAGCATCGGCACAATATCCGGCACAAATGCCACAAGTACCACCATCGTATGCTAGTGCATCTGCTTATAATGAAAGTACTGGTAACAAATGTAAGAAGAATGATTATGAGGAAAAAATGTTGATACTGTCTTATGAGTCTGTATGATTAATAGAAATAGATAAACGATAAGATTAGAGAAGTATTTAGTGAATAATAAAGTTGAAGGATTTGGAGTTTGAATCATAAATAAGCCTTACAGTTTTGAGGTTATTTTAATAAAATTCAGTTAAAGAAGCTTGATTGGGTGCTGTTTCTATTCTTGATAAAAATTTCATGTCAAATGATTGCAGTTTGCTGAGTTCGCCAAAAAAGGAAACTGTAATTCCGAATATTTTCAAGCATTTGTCTTAAAATTTTCTCCAGTGAATTCTAGGGTCTAATTAAGTTTTCTTTAAAAATTTCATGATAATAGCCATTGGTAAAGTGAAGATCTATGCGAAAAGTGTTTTCGATAATGGAACCATCGCCGTGTTTCAGAATCGCAGTAAATTAGGATTTCCTATCTGTAATATAGTAAAGACATGCAGAGCTTTATTTGTCAATAGAAAGACTGATATTAACGTCTAGAAACAATGACGAGTCAGAGGAATGTCTAAAAATCCATTTTCTTTTATGTCCAAAAAACAACATAGTTTTTTAATTCAAAATCCAATGCATCAAGGCTGATGGGTCTCGGGTGAATGCCAGCAATCAAAGTTTTCGAGCTTCATTTATAGTAAAAATATTAAGGGAACGATTCAAATTTTGGTAATTTCTACTGAATAGCGAAACTTTTAGCAACTATAGTATTTTTCTAATCTTCTTCAATTGATACTACGACATCATAATTTGCAAGATATCTGAAACAATTCTCTAATTAATTTTGATCAAACGTAAGAGAAAAATTCTACAAATTGATGATTTTTTAAATGTGTAACATGATTTGATGCTGGTTTTTATATCATTTTCTAGCCGTTCCAGTTGATGTAATTAGTCAAGCACAAAAATTATGTCGTTATGCTAATTCGGCTCTTGAACATGAAGATGTAGCTACAGCAATTAAAAATTGTGAACAAGTATTACAATTACTTCGACCTTATAATAATTAACGATGGTCACGATGATGATTAACAATTCTGTTTTTTTTTCTTGGAACTCAATCGATATTATTCTTTGTCTTTTGTTTATTTATATATTTTTTTCGATTTCTAAAACAATGTTCTTTACAAATTTCTTTTCCAGATTTTTTTTTCATAGAAATGATGCTTGTATAGCCAGGAACAAAAGTAAATCATAACATCGATATTTCTGTCGATTATTAAATGAGCAGATTGTAGAGAATTTCTGCTGAAAAAACAACAACAAGTTTGCTTTTTTTGTTTCTCTCTGCCTTGCTTCACATGTGCTTGGTTTTTTCCTATAGCGATGAAAAAATACGAAAGAGGCAAAAAAAGAATGGGTCGTCTATTACCTTACTGACACATCATGAATGACTCATATTTATTGAATCACTTTGTCTTTTCTGTTTTGTATGTTTAATGCACTAATTTACTAACGTGTTTTTATTATAGATTATTTTCAATCACGTTTATTTTTCTATTTTTATTAATTAAATAATTATGGAAGAAACTCAACTACTATTAGATGATATTGTTCAACCTGAAGAAATTCAACGTTATCGAGCTGTATATGAAAAAGCTGCTGAAGCAAATCAAGTAACAGATGAAAATAAATTTTCATTTGCTTATTGTCTTGTACGAAGCAAAGCTAAATCTGATGTACGTTTTGGTTTACAATTACTTCGAGAATTATATGATGGAACGAAAAGCGATGATGCTAAACGTGATTATTTATATTATTTAGCACTTGGTAAAAACTATTTTATTTTATTTTTTGATTGAAAAAAACAAAAAAAAACAGATTCTAATGAGTATCATTTTAAAATTTAGGTAATGCTCGATTAAATGAATATGAAACAGCATTAAAATTTCTTGATGCTATTCTTCTTATACAACCCGGTAATCATCAAGCCAAAAATCTCAAAGATGAAATAACACGACGTATGACTCGTGAAGGATGTATGTTTCGTTTTATTTATTCAACAATAATAATAATAATAAATTTGTATTAATCTTTTTAGATGTTGGTATGGGTATTGCTGTAGGTGCAGGTGCATTACTTGTTGGAGGTAAGAAAATAATAGAACTTATATTTTCTATGTTAGCATTATCATTACTGTAGGAGCAGGAGCATTATTATTGGTTGGAGGTAAAGAATACAAATCAGACTGTCACATTATTTTTCAATGATAACCAAAAGATGAAAATGTAGATCTTTCTATTTTCAACTCAATTTATCATCTTTCATTTTGAAATTCGATTTGTTTTTTGAATTTTATATCGTTGCATTAATGAAATAACGATCGAATTTCTTTTTTTTTCTAGGTTTAACTGCTGCTGCTATGGCTCTGTTAAAAAAATAAATCATCATGTTCAATACTCATTTTATTACTTTCATCATGTACAGGCAATAACAAAAAAAAATAATTCCAATCCGTTACACATAGCTATAATCAAATAACAATGAACTTCAATTCTCTCTTTTTCTCTAACTCTTTTTTTATTTAATAAAAAAAAATCTATTTTATTCTATATGTATGAAAAACAAACTAATTAACACAGATTATGTGATCGTCGCCATTTTGAACTTGTTACTCGATGTATTCCACGACAATAAATATATAAATTTGAATATTCATTCAATCGTCGACGACCAGCTCATTCACTAAAACCACTTCGAGGTCTAAGAAGTGTATCACATTCACCTAAAAAATAAAAATCAGAAATAACTTTAGCAAAACCATGATAAAGTGTTTCATTTGATTCCATTTTTGTATTCAATCGATCGATATGAATTATTGGACCAGATATACTTAGCAATCGACCCAGTGGCGGCGGAGCCCTTAGGCTTGGGGAGGCTCAGATATTTGAAGAAATTTTATAGATCTCATCCTGAACTTGTATTTCGTAAGCGAAAACTCTTTCATCAAGAGTGTGTTAAGCCAGATGTTAGATAGCGTCATAGATAACGGACTCATTAGGCCTCAGGAGTCTCCAGCCTTTTCAAGAAAATGAAGAGGAAGACTAGAGAGACTTGACATCTTCTGACAAAGTTTTCCGAATCTCATTCTGAATTTATATCGAATGTTCAAAAAAGTTATCCATATGATTTATTTTGTATATATCTCTGTATGCACAAATGCTAAAATCTTGAATTTTTTTCAAAAAATGTGATGTCGGTGGTTTCTAAAATATAACTACGAAAAAACTCCTGCTGACTTCTTTTGATGAATTTTAGAAAGCTGAAATAAAAGATGTATAGAACATTTCTAGTTCCGATTATGTTGGAATTAACAAACATATTTTGAAATAATAGCCATTTTGCATTTATTTTCGCACAGACAAATGATAAAAACCTGAATGGTTTATTGCAAACCTTTTGGAGAGAAAAAAAAGTAAAGACGTGCGAGAAACTGAAATTTTTCTCCATAATAACAGACTGAACGGGCCAGAAATGGCAGAATGATTATTAAAGTCAAGTTTAATGTACAAAAATTCGTTACTCAATACAATGACACTATCAAGGTGATCCGTGTCATGTTCGAAAATCATTTTAGAGATATAAAAGTGAACAACTAGGCGATTAATCATTTAAATAGAGGAACAAATTTAATTCAGAAAAGTGAAAAATTGTCGTATTTTGTACATCTTTGCTTTTAGCTCTCTCGAAATTGGTTAAGATAAGTCTGGAGAACGTTTTGCTTCTTTAAAAAAATCAAGGTTTTCAGAATTCTTGTGCGAAGATAAATAAGAAATATGTATGTATATTACAAATATTTTTACTACTTTCAGTATAAAGGGAAGTAGCAATATTTTATATATCCTATCCAATTTCCTAAAAACTCATCAGAACAGGTCCACATGACCTTGTAATGCAGTTGATACAGAGAATTCAACAACAGCTTCTAGGATTCGTTTTCAGAATATTTCTATAAGTCCCGAGACTGATGTTTTCATTTTAACATTAAATTGAAGAAATTAAGTCAAAGACAGACAGCTTACAAAGGTGAGGATTCACTCTTCCAGACCAGAGATTTTTTTTAGTATAGTTAAATTCCATTTTATGTTATTAAACAGAGATATTCTGTGATTTAAATGGTGCCTGTAAAGACCAAACAAATAATGCTCGAAAGATTGTCAAATTCAATGGCGCATCTTTTAAGAAAATTCCAGTAAGAGTTAGAATTAGAAAGCTAAAAAATCCTTCCTCCCTTTATATCACTCTCCCATCGCTGCCTGAAAAGTTTTGAGCCTCCCCTAGATTTGAATCGTTCCGCCGCCTCTGAACCGACCATCATGATAAATTACTATTTGGAAATCATATGTTCAATTTTAGAATGTCATTTTTCTTTTTATACTACGTCTTAATTGCTTGAGAATGGATTTATTGTGGAAAGAAATATTCATTTTTGAAACTTAGAAACAATATATATATATATATATGTCACAGTTGACATGGGAATTTAGTTGAGTTTGGAATGCATGTTAAAAGCATGAATGACACGATAATTAATGTTTGTCTACTCTTGTATTCAACTTTTGTAATTTTAGCGATTCTAAATGATTGCTCGAGCTTCTATGATTTATTTTGAATTGTTTTAAAATATTTACAGATAGAAAATTTTCCTTTTTTTATCACTTTTATTTCGTAACTATTAGAATTTTATGAATTTTATTCATCTCCTTATAATTAATCGATTGACGTTCGTTGCTACGAAAGATCCAACCAAGAAGCACCTTCTATGTCTGCTTGTTTTTAATTACATAAATTATATCTTTTTTTCATGTGAATCTCTTACAAAAAAAATGACTATTCCCAATTCTAAACTACAATCTTACGTTGATAAACTTTCTCACAATAAGTCAATCGAATAGATAATCAACGATCCATTTATAGTTCAATTATTACTCAATCAATAGAATAATAGATTGCCTGGTATTCTAACTAGCATATATCATTCAATTTCAAGTTTTTAACAACCAATTTGCTAACACTAAACATTTAACCAATCATTCGATCCTCCGTATCATGAGCATCGAAAAAAAATCTATTCTATAAAAACAAATAACTCAAATACCCTCGATTTCGTTTCAACAATCATTCAATGTCCCCATGTCCCGCACCTCGAAAAAAGATCTATTCTATAGAAACAAATAACTCAAATACTCTCGATTTCGTTACAACCAATGATTCAATGTCCTCATGTCCCGAACGTCGATATAGAAACTTCACTACAAGGAAAATGATGAGTAAGATTTACTTTTACAAGAAAACAATGAATAGAATGACTAATGGCTGTTTATCAACAAAATAAAAGTACGAGATATTTTTTATTGTCTAAGAAGTAATAGTAAATATAAATTTGATAAGAAACAAACAAGTTTCCTTGAATATGTGCTAGGAAATTTTTTACCCATATGTTTGACTGCGATCAAGTTGTGACGCAGCTACGCGTAACTGCGACGCAGTCGTTAAAAAAGTGGCGACATGGGGAAATAAACAAACTGAACTTAATGACTCCAATCTCAACTAAATTCCAAACTCAAGTGCAACATATATATACATATGCAGTGGTTTGCAAAAAAAACTTGGAACAATCTGGCAACATAAGCATTTAATGTTTTCTACATTGCCTTGCGCCCTTTTTTTGCGCTTATTGCAGACTTATACAAAGCAGATTGCGTACTAAAAATATTCCTCTATTCGCTTAATTTTTATTTTATTGCTTTTTACTAATAACCTGACATGGTAAAAACAAGCAATCTAAAATCACATAATATTTCTCTATTACATTATCGAAACACGGAAATTCGTTCTACCAAAAACTCTATTGATTTATAAAAATACCATTGTCTACAACTAGTTACAAATTGAAAAAGCACTGAACTCAAGGTTCTATGGAATATCGAGGAGTCAATGGTCGAAAAAACATGATTAATTCGAAAATGCAGCCGAAAATTAGGTCAATTGTGTAGACGAAATAATGAAG